GAGAAAAGAACTTTAAACTCTTTTCACAATATTTTTCTGGAGCAGTAGCTCAAGCAAGAATTCGACTTTTGAAAACTTAGGCTAGTCCCTCAGTATTGATAAGACATGAGGGGAGAAAAGTCTCATTAAGCCTTAAACTATCATAGATGTTCTACTATCTCAAGGAATCTGATTCATGAGCACCTATGATGGCCACCTGCTTTAACACCTGGCTGTTGGCCCCCATGATGCACAGCTGCTGTGCCTGTAAACAGATATAAACAGTGCTTTTTTGTAAAAAAAAAAAAAAGGTGCCGGAACTCACACGTCATACAACCCGCCTTGCCTACCCTACAAGGTTCCATCCAAAAAAGGTGCCGGAACTCTGTTCTGGGCGTTCTATGACAAAAAAAGCCCTGGATATAAATATTACAAAATGGCATAACATCTCCTAGCATTCCTTTGTAAAAGAAACATGACTTGAATGTGTGCTAAATCCTGGAATTTCTTACCATTCAATAATTGGATTATGTATAAGAAGCTTACCATAGGTATTAATTAGTATTTATTCTTTACTATTTTTATCTAGTATTTATTCTGTAAATACTCTTGGCAAAATAACTTATATTAGATTACCAGTATTATTTAGATTGTTGATCCCTATTAAATCTGGACTTTTATAAGAGATTCCATAACATCAGCATCTGCCTTTTGCTTTCATGTACCATACTCCAAAGTTTGCTTCTTTTTTTTTAAGTGCAATGTTCAGGTTAATAACAACTTTTTAATTACCCTGATTTTATTTTAAAGGTCATTTCTATGAGAATCCATTATGCACTTATGGCTGTATTGATTTGTTCTAGGCATTGATCAATGCTATAAATAGTTCGAATGGATAGCAAAAATGCTGACATATAAACAATTGGCTGCTCACTGGATACTATTTAACAAAGATGGAGGAGAAAAGATTATGATAGCAAATTGGATGGCTGCAAAGGGCAAAGGGAAGCCGAGAAGATGGTACCAAGTCATCCATCATATAGGCAGAAAGGAAAACAAAACATAAGAGGTGTGAACATTATTTCGTTATGCAGGATATATTATTGAATCATTGTAGTTGATGAAGTTGGGGTGTAGTTTCCTGTTATCTTCAATAAATCCTTTCTATCTATAGTTCTTCGATTTCTTGTGATCTTTCCCAAATGAACTGAAGCCTAATTTTCAGAACACTTGTAAGGGAAATTTATACTGTGGTTCCAATTAAATTTTGCTCCAAATTCCTGCCCTCTGTGGTGTAATACCTTCTTACAACTGCTTATAGTGAAGGCGTCTTATGGACAAAGTGACCATCAATCAAGCTGTCACCCTAAATCTGTTGTGCAATTTCATGGCTTAAATCATGATTATGTAATGTATTTTAGAAGTGCATGAAGAACGGGGAAACCGAGGAAATACTTAGGTTGTGGTGCTTGATGGAAATACTTACAAAATCTCAAATGTTAAAATATTTCCCTGTAATATTGGCCCCAGTTTTCCTAGCAGAATTAGAAGTCCCGTCGGGAGAAGGGCGGGATATAAATCAAAATAATAAATAATAAATAAATAAATAAACTTCCAGAGAGTAATGCAATTAAACTTTCTTCTTCCTTGTCACAAGATGAACTAGTACTGTCTTTCCTGATCTGATATCCTGGATTTAGTGGGACCACAACAGAAAGCTTAAACAATCAGAAGAGCATCAAAACAGCAGTGTTGAAGAACATCAGAATGGAATAGAATAGAATAGAATAGAATAGAATAGAATAGAATAGAATAGAATAGAATAGAATAGAATAGACCTTGGAGGCCTTCTAGTCCAGCCCCCTGCTCAAGCAAGAGAATCTATACAATCTCAGACAAGTGACTGTCTGGCCTCTTTTTAAAAATCTCCAGTAATGGAGCGCCCACGATTTCTGGGGGCAAGCTATTCCACTGGTTAATTGTCCTCACTGTCAGGAAGTTTCTCCTTAATTCCAGGTTGCTTCTCTCTTTGATCAGTTTCCAACCATTGTTTCTTGTCCTGCCCTCTGGTGCTTTGGTGAATAATGTGACCCCCTCTTCTTTGTGGCAGCCCCTCAAATACTGGAATACTGCTATCATGTCTCCCCTATTTCTCCTTTTCTTTAGACTAGCCATACCCAAGTCCTACAGCCGTTCTTCATATGTTTTAGTCTCCAGGCCTTTGATC